AATAGAAAAATAACTCTGACACTATGGAATGTGGTAATATATTTTGTATCATTAAAAATTTTCAATGCACAGAATATTCAGTTGCTCTTGGGCATAGCTCCTCAATGTCACAGACACACATTTGGAAATTCCAGTAGAATTACTGTAGTTGGCAGGCAAAAGAAACCATTATTATTTTAAATTTCCTTCATACTTACTTAGTAACCAGTCCTGATAATAGTCCTGCACTCACTTGAATCACAACTAAAAATCAGGCAAAATGAAAGGTGTCTCCAGACTAGGGGCCAGAGGACAGTCTTTTATCAGCCAGTGATACCATCCACACAGTTTTGAATGTGTATGCTTTGCTGTTTCTGGGTATTCCACTAACAAGGATGTCGGCTTTACCTCAAATGGAAAAGTACATTTTAACTCTGCCTGTATCCATTGAAAACAGGTGAATGACTTGTGATGAAATCATCCTCCCATCACCCATATACAACATCATAAAAGAGACAACGCTTGGATGGGAACCAGGGAAAAAGAGTTGCGCAGTAAGATGATGGGTTTTTAAAATTTAATGAGTGAAATCAGGATGTTATATTGCTGATAGCTCTAGCTCTGATTCCTTTGGCATCTGTAGTACAAAACCATTAATTAGACTTGTGTGAATAATTTTGAAGCAATTCTGTGTCTAAATAGCAAAACTGCATCTTCCTTCTCTGCATGAATTTCAAAGCAAGTTAATTTTACTGTTTTGATACACCCTATCATCATTCAGAGAAGCAGCACAGACCAAAATACCTGTACTGTCAGAAAATGACAACAACGTTTTGAGAACATGCCCAGCCCGTGGCCCTAGTCCCAGCACGCTGGGGAGTTGTGCCTGCCCTGCAGAGCTCTGCCGCAGCCCAGGGTGACCAGAGGCAGCCCTTTCCAGCTGTGTTCAGGGAAGCAATAGCCTTCTGCAATCTCAGATATTCCCACCCAAGTTCACTTGCTTTTTGGATTTGGTGTTTCTCTTTCAGTGACAATTCCCCCGCATTAATATGTTTTCCTTCCAGCCTGATGAATATTTAAAATTTCAATTGACGAATGTCAAATCAGTCAAGTTCAGCTGACAAGTAAAGGTGAAATTCACTCCAGCTCACAAGGGCTAGAGTAGGCCTCTCTGGTAATTATATCCCACTTAGACTCTATTTTGTTGGATCAAGTGGAATTTAAGTGGCGTGCAGGGTTTGTACCACACCGGTGCACAGTGGGCTTTCTTCTTCCAAGATACATGCTGTCTAGCTACAGCAGTGACCAAAAGTTACAATAGTTACCACTTCTCCTATCTTCCTTAAAGAAAAGGAATACCTGAATTTTAATTGCATGGTAATTTATTCTGGAGGGAATTTGATGCTTTGTTCTGGAAGATGTGGTTTAGGTTTTGGGTTGTTTAGTGTTTTTTCATTCAGTTTTCATTGTCACCTTCATTGACAGAGAAACAGCCATTTGCTAATTCTAAAAAAATATTGAAAATTGAAAGCTTGCCTGCATGAGAAAACCTGCATGAGTAGGCACTGAAGGCTAACAGGTCAACTGTAAGCAGAAAATTGAGAGTGCTCAGAAAGAATTTTAAGAGCTCTGTTGAAAAGATGCTCAAACTAATTGTAGAAGAGACTTGAAATACGTCAAAAGCAGGAAGCCAGCTAGGGAGTCAGTGGGACCATCTGATAACACAAGCGTGAAAGGGAAACACTGTACTGAGGGAGCTATGAAAGGGAAGTTCAGTGAATTATTTGCATCAGCCTTTACAGTTGAAATGTTGCAAGAGTTCTCATACCTGCACGTTCCTTATAGCAGATATGTCAAAGAAGCTGGATCAAGTTGAAAGAAATACATGAGAATGTAAGACCAAACAGATAAGTTAAATGCAAACAGGTATCTAGGGTGGCAGTCACGTGAGATTCCTAGAAGAACTCAATTGGGAGATTACAGAACTGCTTGCTGTGATGCGTGAGCTGTTGTTTCAAACAGCCGCTCTGCCAGAGGACTGGCAGATTCCAGTGTAATTTCTACCTGTAAAAAAGGGGAACTTTAAGAGATCCTTACTACAGCCTAGGGAGTTTTGAGTTCCTTTTCTGGTGCTGTAATAGCCAATAAAAAAGAATAAGATCCCTGAGCACCTGGATAAGCATGGGCTGGTGGGAGAAAGCCAGCATGGATACAGTTGTGTCTTGAGCAAAGAGGATCTGGTGGACACCGAAGTCTCTAACAAGGTTACACATTACAGGATATTGAAGAAACTACATTCACACAGGACTACAGGAGCAATCCTTACGGCCTGGAAGCTGGTTAAAAGATTGGAAGCAAAATGGTCATCTTTCAGGATGGGGAGGCGTCAGCAGTATGGTTCCCCAATGAGTGATGCTGGATTTTGGTTTTTTTCATCAGTGGCATGAAGAAGAGAGTAAAAACAGATCTCCAGATCTGAAGGTGACATTAAACTCTTTTGGTTAACCAACTGTTGCCTCACTTGGAAAGAAACTCACGAAACTGAGTGATTAGGCAAGACACCAATAAACTTTGATGTGGGCAAATGTAAGGTAGTAGCTATGGAAAATAGCCTAAACTATTCCTACAAGATACTGAACTTGAAACTGGCACCCATACAGGTGGAGAAAAATCATAGTGTCATTGGTTACTGTAGTCTGAAGTTATTGGCTCTACAAGAGTGGCAAGACAAAAAGCCAAAACCTGACAAATGTTGTCAGAAGAGAGAGCATAATTTATCCCATTTTTGGAACTGTGGTGTACCCACAGCTTGAACATTGCATTCATTTATGGTTGCTGTGTTCTCATGAACAATGTAGTGAAATTATACATAACACATGAAAAAAGGCGAATAAATGAGCAAGGGAATAGACCGGGTGGCTTATGAGATGAGACTGAAAAAGCTGATACTTAAGATTGGAGAGGAGGAACCTGAGATGAGCATGGTTAAGGTTTAAAACATTCTAAAGGTGATGGGTAAGCTGCACATGGAGCTTTTGTTCTTAAAATCCTGCAATACAACAAAGAGGGCATCCTTGATGAAACAAGTATTGAAATTAGTTAAAATTAAGCACTTTAGACAGATGGTCCTAAAGTTCTGAAGCTTGCTTCTAGAGGAGGTAGTATCAGAAGATTTGACAAGCAGATAGACAAATTGATGGACAACAACTCTATAAATACATAATAAAAGACCTGGGAAGAGACACTTTCGCACAAAAAAAAATGTGTGGCTTCTGAGGGAGTAAAAGGAAAACAAACTGCAAAGTATCCAGGTCTACACAGTCTCACTAAACAGCATCTCTTCTTGCCTTTTTCAAACACAGGGGTAGATCCTGCACTTGGAGGGTTTGACTGAGTGAGATGTTTTTTATGTTCTTATGTCTTGTCTAATGAAATGGTAGTGTCGGTGAGTAAATGCACACAGATGCACACTACATCATATGCTACAGTAGCACGGAAGAATCCCGTGTTCAGAGAGGTGCTGGAAGGGGTATATATGTTTAAGATTGAAGGCATGGTTTTATACAGCCAGCTATTTTAGAACACAAATTATTACTGTCTTAGTTCTGCACAGGGATAAAGGGGGACTACATTTCATGGTAAGTCTAAAACAGCATCTTCATGGTAATCCCTTAGGGTACACTGTAAAGGTGTGTTAGTGTTTCAAGGGTTCATTACACTGGGGAGAAACAGTTCTAAATGTAGCAGCAGGTTCCCCAGAAGCATGCATGTCCTCTCAGACACACAGTCACCACTGTCTCTTTTGTGGCTGCTCACAAAAACTCTATCTACTTGAGAGGTGACATTAATAATTTTTAACAGACATGCTGTAAAATAATCATCAATAATGCATGCAAGGAAATATCATGAGTCTTCTAAGTAGATAAATGTTTTAACTTGCAAGTGTATCCAAGTATTAATTTATTACAATAGGATCTCACATTAGTAACATTTTAAAAAAAGAAAAAAGTTAACTGATTTTATTTTAAAATTTCAGCAATCTTCTGTAAGGAAAATAGATTAGTCTGATTCTCTGGTCTAAGTATAAGGCTAAAATTTTTGTGATGCCCTAATTATCAGCACTAATTTGATCCAAAACAGGTTTTCCTGGATTTCAAACAATGAACTTTCAAAAACCTATTATCTGTGGCAGTGTCATCAAAAATGAAACATATATTAGAAAAACAGAAAGGCTAGAAAAGAAATGTTAGAATAAAAATCAGGAGACTACTTTTGCTGGTTGTAAGTAAAAAATTATGATGTAAATAAAATTATGATGAAAATATAAAATCTCAAAACAAAATAATAAAAATGAAGGGACTGGCACTATGCCATTCAAGTCAGTAGTTTTTTCCATTCACTTGAACAGGAGCAGAATCAATTCCATGAAAACTTCTGTTATCAATTACTTGAAACAAGCTAATATTTCCCAGGGTCAAGAAGAATTTACCGTGAAAGATATCCCTGAACCTAAAGGAGTGCATGTCATAGCTGTCGTGGCAAATGGTACTGACCCACACAGCACAATGGAGCCTCTTAGCACTGCCACAGAAAAGGAGGACTTGCTTTGCACTGGGAGCTGCTTCTAATTTTCTGGGAAAAAAGCTTACTTTGAAGTATTGTAAGCCTGACGTTTTTGGCAGGTCGCTTGAGGAAGTGCTGGTATGCATTTAAGTGTCTCATGCATCTACTCACTGCTACTCTGTTAGCTTTAATGAGCACATATGTATCTATCAAAATAGACCTTGAACTTGAAAACTTAAGCTAGTCACTTACAGAAACATGTCCTGTCTGCTCTGCCACTTCTAAACAATCTTTTATCATTGGTAGATGATATAAGTGAGCCTGACACCAAACAGGGGTCAGATACAGTTTCAGGAAACTGTCGTATCCTTCTTCACGTCATTAATAATAGAAGGAGCATGCACAGCCAGGAAGCAGAAGCTGGGGCTGTTTTCATTATTACTCTACAGGATAGAAACATGGACTTCTCCGTTTTGCCAAACAACAACCATCCCGATAAATTCCTGCAACTGGAGGTGAAGTCCTTAGTGAAAAACTCTGCCTTTCTACAAGCCAGCCTGGCAAAATTCCCAGAAGCAGCTTTACCTGGAGTGCAGCGGTGGCACAACAGGGTCTATTTACAGGTAAGGTCTAAAAGAGGCTGACATTTTTCCCTAGTTTTCTTCCTCATTTTTGGGACCAGGAGACAAATGACATGAGTTTGAGACTTCAGCTGTGGATTCAGCTTCCTGAATATCTGAATCTGCATATGCCTGCAAGTTTTCCCATTGATTTCAGTGAGGATCAGGCTCCAAGAGAAGAGGTACTCTCTTCAGGGCATTCTGCTGAATTTATTTCATTAAGTTAGGCTTTCTAGTGTGCACTGTAATATTTTCATAGCATTTCCCAGAAAGTCTACTAATGTCAAATACCAATTAATTGTACTAAATGGGTCAATGGAACGCACTCTCTGAAGAAATAAGAAAAAATCCCAGATGTAAATCTGAAAGCCAGGTCATATCCCTCAAGCTCGATGAAAAGGCACATTAGAGAGCACTAGAGTTTCTTACTACTGTCTTCCAAGCTTATATACATCTACATAGTTCACTGTAACTTCCTCTTTATTTTGGCTTGTTTTTCTCATTCTACCTTGACCTTCCTGTTATCCTGACAGACAGCTGTTGAAAGCATGAAACACACTGACTGTATTAATCCAGGTTATTATACAGAGGTACCAGCAGTTTCTTGGTAAAAATGTAAATGTGCGCTGCCTAGTAGAGGCCCTGGAGCTGGCAGAGGAGAGGTTCGTGTCTGGACCAGCAGCAGTACAGCTGCATCAGCTCACACCCCTCTGGGCCCCACTTGCTGCTCCCCAACGTGCCTTTCCTGCTTCCCGGGGAGCCCCCCGCCTTTCCCCACCCCTAGCATCAGCAAAAGCTCCAAGGTCTGGTTCTTGTCAAGGGATGGAGAAGCACATAAGTGGTTGGGGGCAGGAGGTGGAGAAGGGTCTGCATCCTGAGGATCCTTAGGGTGAGGGGCCAATTCCTCAAGGGAATGAGGAGTGGGAGCTGTAAAAACATCAACCTGTGGGAGGGGAGGGGAAGAGAAAGATCCTTAAAGTCTCCCACAGCTACTTCCAGTTGCACTTTTCCCCTCTCAGACTTTTCTACCCATCAGCTCCCCGTACCCATTTGCTCCCTCCCAGAGTCCATTCCAGTCCTCATCCACACACAAAAGTCCTCCCCATCCTGACAGACGCTTCCATGACACCCCCTTACCTTTCCTAGCCTATTCCTCACCCTGGAGACCCTTCCTTCTGCCTACCCCAATGCCTCCAGCTGCCTCAGCTCATATTGTATAATCTTTGCTGGCGATTCCCCAAGGAGAGCTGGGAGGGGGGGCGGACACGCAGTCGCCCGTTGTCTCCCATGCAAAGAGCCCTAACCAAGGGAAGGAGCCTGCGGGATCCCAAACAATGGGGTATGGTGCAATGCTGGCCTTGCTCCCCACCCCACCTAAGCCCCTCTTTTGTGCAGGAGGGAGGCAGCCACACACAGAGCCTCCTCCGCAGCAGGGATCCTTCTCCCTATTGTTGTTAAACAGGACGCACTGTCACTGAGCCAGGGTTGCAGAGCTGCGGGAGGATTAAAAATGTGTGGGGAGCCCTGTGCTTTTTCGACTTGTGCTCTGCCCTTCGCCACAAGTGAGAAGGTTTTCCTGGAACTCTGTTCCCAGCCCCAGGATGGCCATTTCAAAGGAAATGTCTGTGTTCACCATGTCTCCAGAAATGCAGTTTGCAATGCAGTATGTTTTATAAATGTTAAACCTAGGGCATAACCTATACTTTTAAGTGTAGTTATTAGTGAATTCAAGCTGTCCAGATAAAATTCATTGTGCCTTATTCTCTCTCCCTTATGAGCGCTCCTCCTTTTTTCCACTTTTGCTGACAATCAAATAAAGGGAAAAGAACTGATGAGTTCCAGACATTAGAATAAACACGATGGCACAGTGGAGAACTAATGGCGCAGGAATAACATGTTTTGCTTTAAGATGAGAGAGCTAATGGGGTTAAGGGTTAGTTAATTCAGAAACGGAAATGGTGCGGGGGGGCAAGTGAGGAGAATTAATTTCAGAACATATGTGCGTGACCTACAGACTCCCAAAGTCATTAAACCTTGAGAGTAGCCTAAATTCCCTCTTCAGAAATTCATTTTCTTTTAAGAAACTATTGCTACTCAGGGATCCCCATGTGAAGTGACTTCTCAGTGGCATGTTTGTGGTCTCTTCCAGACCTTTATTATGAGATCAGTTAAATTCAAGTGCACTTAACCGCTTATGTGTTTTCTTCACCTATAAGTTTTTAATATTATTTCTATTATAAAAGCTTGACATAATGACAATTCCTACTGCTGACCAAACGCTGCTCTTTGTCTTTACTTTCCTCTTCTGTATCAGACAAACTGAACAGCTTTTCTGCTTAGCGTATATTTTCATTGTGTACTTTGAAGAAAACAAGCTATAAAGCAGTCCAGGAATCTTGGCCCTTCCTTGTGAAAAGCAGCATCAAAAGCACAGACTGTTTCTCCTGCAAATGACAAGCTACTGACTGCTTTCTGATTCCCCTGAAAATTTCCAGTCCCTCTGGACTCTCTGCGCCACAGTATGTTTTAATGTTCAGCATACACCACATGAGTAACCCCTTATATCTGCTTCTGATAGCCAGGGTGCGTGTCTCCCCTACAGTCTACTTAATCATTTTCTGCAATTCTTGGACTTCTCTTTCCTGCTCGTATTTCCATTTTTTCCCTGCTTCTGGAAGGCAGCAGATCTTCAAATACTGTGCTACTTCTTTTCATGCTGCTCTTGCTTAGAAATTCACAACTCTGGAAAAATTTTAGCCTGCAGTTACTACAGTTATCATGCTAACTGCACTCCCTCCTGGTCTCTCATATGAGCTAACGTCTGTGTCCTGCCTTTGCTTGCTTCTCAGTGCAGCAGCACAAGAGGTTTTTTTCACCTATAAGTTAGGTGTTGGCTTACAGTCACTTGTCTGTCCCCTGGCTCATACCTGTGTTACAAAGTTCCACTCTTTCCCTTATTCTTTCCTAGACATCTGAAACTGGCCACAATCAGAGCCAGCTGCAAGATTGGTAGGAGCTTTGGTCTGACACCATACATAAGATTTTATATAATGCACTCAGAACCCTGAAAAACTCCATTATCAATAACAGATAAATCAGCTTTCTTTAAGTAAACAATTCATTACGAGGACAGAAGTATTCTCAATGCTGCACAATTAAAATAGTCCATATGCATGACTACTTTTCTTTAAATATTACAGTTGCTTCACCTTAAGTGCTTATAACCATCTACTGATCTCCTCTATATCCATGTCAGGTGGCTTCCCAGGTTGCTTTGTAGTATCTGATGCTGCCTTATGGCTCTGACAAGCAATTCTGATCCACTGCAGTTCCTTTGATAAGAAAATTTGCATTCTCAGAGATCCTTGATGTGAGCTGTCTGTCCTACTGTCTTGCAGATCTGCTTACCTACCCTTGGTTGCTCCTTGTCTTCCTGATTGCTTTTCCACAGCAACTCCTATGAGATCAGATTTGTTCAGGAAATTCTAAAGAGCTAATAATTACTTACCCTGATAAATGAGGGGGCTTTTTTGACCAAATGTCTAACAATACCTATATAGTTGTTACAACTATCAGGGATTCTTGGATTACTACCTAGAAGTTTTGTCTGTCAGACCTTTTGTCTGTCTTAGAAACAGGTATCAACGTGAGGAAAATGCCCTTCCAACTGCTGGGAGAGTCTTTCAGGGTGCATTACAAGGCTTTTTGCATAACAGAAGCTTGTAGTCTTAAACAAATTACATGCAAATGTAATAATCACCCTGCTACCCACTTTCCTTAGGACTGAGGAGGTTGCTACAAATCCTGCAGTATCTGGTGGCCCTACATTTCCTGAAGACTCCCTAAAAGTTAAAACTTTTAGGCATAGCTGCCCATCAACAGCACTTGTCATTTTCACTGAGCATCTCCCCCGGCAGCAGCTGAAGACCATGGCTGGCCATGGAACAAGAGGAACTAACTCCCTTTGGGGAGGCGTAAAGAAAAATTTGACTTCCGGGAAGTAAATTTCCTTAATTTTCTAGGTGTCTCTTTGATCTCTTCTTGTAGGTAGATGGGCTTGAGACCAAGGCTTAGCCTTAACTGTTGATGTCCTGTTTTTGGTGGGTGATTAGCTTGATATCTTATATCACAGACCAAGGAAAGAACTGCTAGACTCTCAGGTTGTTTCAGTGCTAGCAACAACAGGAACAAAAGGATGAAGTCAAGATAAAAATGAGATAAAAATGTTTCCTAGCAATATAGATTAAATTATAATTTCTAATTATATATTGCAATGTACCTATATGCATAATGTGCATTATGAAATAATCAGCAAGAAAGACCTGTGGAGTAAGCACATTCTGACCCAGGGGTGGAACTAACATTGTCTCTCTATACATCTTCAGGCTTTTTACAGTATCCGCTTTTTGTGCATGCCAGCTCTCTAGGTCTGTCAAAGAGGGTCAAACTGTTCTCAGTGAAACACAAGTTATAAACCATAACAGCTTTCTTGCTCATGAGCTATGTGTAGACCAAACACGGTTATGTGTTTGCATAGTTGAGCATTTTTCATCTTGTTAAATGAGTATTTTGTCAACGCATTTCATCTACAGTTTCTCAGAGTTCTTCATAATTATTGCTGCTTTGAGTATTTGCTGTTCCCTCCTTCCATTCAGTGAATAGTAACATAAATTGCCTCTGATTCGAACTCTTCCACCCTCATTCACACAGGCTTCTTAGACACAGTGTATATGATACATATGTAACATATGGATACATAAGTTTATGATACTTCCCTCTTTCTTTGAACATTTGTTTCACGAATCAGAATCAAAATACAGAAGTCTGTGAAAACTGTTTTGAATCTTAAAAGAAAAAAAAAAGTTTTTGCTAGAATTAATACTAGGAGGCATATTTTTGTTATCTAACCTCCTTCTTTTTCTCTGCTTTAATAAATGCGTATGTTTCATGCAATCTTCTTCATGTCTCTCTGTATGATTTCTTGGACCTAAACCTCTTCATTTTTTTTTTTTTTTTTTTTGTACATGCTTCAGGCTTCTGTCCTTCCTCTTCCCTAACCAATCTCTAGGATATATCTACTGCAGAAGTTTCACAACTAAGAGTTCACCTGCAATCAAGTGTATTCTCCTGATTAGCTTGGCACTTCAAGGTCTGTTCTCTAAAACTTCTGCAAGCTATCTTCTATTCCAAATTCCAGTCCAGTTTTCACAATAAAACCTTTTGCCACTCCCATCCTGTTCCCCCTCTACCTCTGATCAGTGCTACCACATTCCCCTGTTCTCATGCCTCTGAAAAGGAACGTACTCCAGATGGAAGGGGCAAAAAGTTTTGCCATAAAGCACTCCCTTTATAAACAAATTTTCCATCATGCCATCTATTCCAAGTTTGGGAGTACTTTATTTAAAACAGCTTTAGAAATTACTGTCAAGTTGCATTCTTTTCACAACATTTTAGCCTAGGGAGATTGAGCATCCCCTGGTGAGACAATCTGTGTTCTTCAACAAAATGTTCTCCAGCTATCTAGCAAGCCTGAGGGAAACATCATTAAGGTCAATGAAAATTTTAAGAAATAAAAAAAAAAAAAAAATAAAATAACATAATAAAATATAAAATAAAATCAGAAAGAAACACCAGTTAAAAACACCAGCTAAGCTGAAATGTGGCCAGTACAACCCAGAGGACTTCAGTGCCAGCTGTAACTGCAATGCAAAGAGTAACATTGCCAGGGGCTATGTCAAGGCTGAGGAATGACATATGGAAATTATGAACTAATAGAGGGACTGGGAGGGCACTGAGAATCCACCCACCTACTAATGGTAATTATTGACGGGAAACATGCTTAGTCATTTGTGGGCAATTTAGTGTTAAGAATGACAGCACGATGCTTCCTCCTAGGGTTTCGTAGACAAAGGCTGTTGTTTTCCTTTCTCCACCTTTCCTTTTTGGAGGAAACCAGTCCTCCCGTTTCCTCCTACACCTGCCTACCCCAGATGAACTCACACATGTCTATGCGTATGCACAAGCACTGAGGCATAAAGTAGATGATGACACGTAGCAGCTGGCTTCTGCTGAAAGTAGATTCACCAGCCCACAAAGAGAGCAGAAAATTACTCAGGCAAAGGAAGGAAACAGTTGGCTATCAGCTTATGGACCTGCACTGGCCGAAGTAAGATCCGAGCAGCTCCCAGAGCCAGTGTGCAGGAGGAGGTGGGATCCCCTGGCCTTCCACCAGAAAGGTGGAAGGAGAAGCAGGATGTGCCCCCAGCAGCAGTGAGCCCATTCAGCCTGTGGCACCTTAACAGATGGAGGTATCAATATAAGCAAAATATCCCGGGAAAGATATCCTTTCATGGAAGGAAGTTTCTCAGGTCCCAGCCTCTTCATCGGCTGTTCATGATGTCACTCACTTTATGGGAGCCTGGCAGCAGGTGCTGCCCACACCTTTGTGATTTCTGAGGCTACCAGAGGGCTGGAGCATGCTCCCCTCCCAGCACGCCTGCTACAGGGCCACTGGGTCAGGCCAAGGCTCCCGTTGTCTCAGCATGAAGTTTCTTAGGACAAAGGTGATAAATGGGGAAGTGGTGTTTGCTAATGGGGAAAGCTGAATTTGTACTGTGATGGTTCTGCAGAAGCAGTCCTGAGACATAGGAGAGGTGTTAGCATGAGGCAAGGGCTCTGTCAGAAGCAGGTCTCTCAGAAAGCTGATGCACCGCTGAAACTGCAGATCATTGAATTCAAAGTGTCAGTGACAGAAGGTTGTGGTGAACCAAAATGTTTAACAGCTTGAGCAGGAGAGTCTGACTGCATTCCTCCACACAAAAATTATGGTAACTACCATCTTACTGGCTCCTGAAGAGACAAGAGTCACTGTTAAGCAGTCACTTGTGACTTCTCCAAAAATGTGATCGCACTAGGGTTGTTCATCCTCCTCCCTTGGCACCCCTCTGTTCCAAAAGGTCCTATTAAATCACTGTTGTCTCTGGGAGACTGCTCAGATATTTAATTACATTTGAGTTCTGACAGTGCCCAAATTGAGGACTCTCCCTCAGTTGAATGAAGGGCCTCTGACATCTTGACACAGGTCTAGCATTCAGCAGCGTGAACAGAACTGTGAATCACACCCCTGCTGTCAGAGGTGCAGCGACAGTCGAGGCAGTCACTTACACACCACTACCACTGTGCTTCATTCTGCTTTGTCCTTATAGCTCCACTGCATCACACACCCGTGACTTTCATCAGAACTGCACCTTCTACCACAGTGCTCCATAGCACTGGTTTGCTAAAGCAGAGTCTATCTTTCAGCAGGCATTACAAGTCAGTTCACATTTGCAAAAGAGTTTAATGTTCAGATTGTATCCACGTGCTTTCCCCAGAAGGAAGAAATCTGCCCAGAGACTCCCTCACTGCACTGTAGGTGTTTGCCAGAATGAGAAAAATTGTTTCATGTGTAATTTTAAAAATTATTCTGCTGTATTACAAATGGTGATTCTGGAAGGGGACCTGCATCGCAGGTAAATGAAGATGAAAGCCAACTTCTTATCTAACTTGTGCTTTACAGAGAGAAAAGAGAAATGACACTGAGCTGCCAGGCTTGGATTTGAATGAGGTCAGTCAAGAAATGATAGACAAAGCCCTCGGGAAACACATTACACCCATCACCCTGAAATCCACAATCAAAAGCAACCCTTTGTATAGTGATATCCAGGTGGATGATGACTGGGAGGAGAAGAAAAAGACCCCTTCCTGGACCGTGCAAGACTATGACAGACAGTCGCTGCACTCTAACTTGACCAGCCACATAAAGGTAACTTTGCACTGTGTTTGAGCAAAGTGAATTGCTATGAGCTGTGTAGTGTGTGCATGAACCACTGTGCAGCCTGCTTGGTTCTTTTGGTGGGGTTCCAGAAGAAAATATGGACATATCTTCTAGTACAGACATGATGCTAACATGAGTCTGATCAGGACAAGAAGTTTACGTATCCAGTTAGACTCCAGGAACTTCAGTTCTGCAGAACATGACTTCTGTGACTAGAGAAAGTCTTAAACCACAACACCCTGCAACTCAGCTTCCCCATTTATATAGGGAAGAACTATAAACAAGGCACTTAAACACTATATATCAGCTTTAATAACTGTTCATAACATCATTCTGTTATCAAATACTATACAGTTTCTCAGCCTCATCCACACTATGCAGGATCCTGCCTGCCTATGGGTTGGCACAAATCACTTTTAGGGTCACTTTTATGATTTTTTTTCTGCTGTTCCCTTTTTTGGAAAGGGATTCAGATTTGTGTTTATAAATCAACAGCACTCCTTGAGAAGACAACATGGTTTCTTCTGGGTTTTTTACTCACATCTCAATGGCTGGTGTCCTACATTTGGATCCTGGCTGAAAAGTATGGTTTTAATTTTCCCCAGTGAAACATCTGCAGCATCTGGCAAGTAGCACAACCTATGTTCAAGTGAAAGTTTCTTGCATTTGTGTTGTGATGCCTTAAATTCATTAATCGTTATCTGATGATAGCCAAAATACTTCTGGCTATGTTCTAATGACTTTATGTGCAAGAAAGAGGAACTGAGTTCATTTTCTGATTTTTCTTTTAGGAAAATCCTAATGATCTACAGTTCTGGATGGGGGATATTTATACTCCTGGGTATGATACCTTGTTAAAAAAGAAAGAAAGAGAAAAAAAGCATTCCAAATGTTGCCGAATCATCCTGCTCATGGTACTAGCTGTTTGCATCCTGATTACCATAGTCATGCTCAGTGTTTTACTTACTTAGAACAGCCAAATTATGTTGATGGGATTTTTTTCAATAAATATTTGTATTAAGCAATTCCCCTCCCTTGTTTTATTTGAATTCCATTTCTTTGTCACAAATACAATTTGTTTGACATCACTATTTTACAATGTTCCTGTGCAGCACAAGGAATTGATCCTAAAGAGACAAATACTCTGAGAATAGCAGAATGTCTCCTTATGGGTATAATCAAAAAAGAAAACTATAAATAAGTTACTTTTCTTAATGCTGTCTTCTTTGGACTAGTGATTTGGGTCAGTATGTGTGGTACCGCACATATAGTTTGTGCAGACAACCAGCTGACCATTCTAATAAACACCTACCATTATGTTCATCTTTTTATGATAGCTACTATTAGAATATAGGAAAGTACGATAAAGCAGCATTCAAGATATCCCAAAGCATTCTAAAACAAAAATTTACGCATTACTTAGTGACTGAATGCATTGCTGAAATGATGAAGCACTTAGTATAAAGCTATCTAGCCTCAATGCATAAATGTTTTCTTATACTTTTTCAGAGTAGAAAACCAAAAAATAGATCACTGAGCTTCTATCAAAAGAATTCCCTGAGACCTGAGACAGGGATTCTTCATCCCTGTGTCATGTTCTCTGAACACGTAGCATCCCTGTGACCCCAAAAGATGGAGTGCCAACCTTTTTTTTAATCTGACACATCAAAAACTGGAGCAAAATTGGTGAAGTACTAGAGTATAAACTGGAATTAGAATACACCTTAAAAAGATTTATACATCCATGCTGTGAGATATGACCTTTGTAAATAAAAGGACCAAAATTAAATGTTAAGAGCAGTCGGGCAATTAAAATCTTGCACCTCAGAATAATTCAGGACAATGAGAACATGAGCTAAAATGACAAAATAAGAAGTGAGTGAACAACAAGAGAAGAACTGAAATTATTTCCTTGCTTTCTGAAAAATACTCTGAGTGCTGCAAACCCTCTATACCTCTGTATTAGGGAAGGGTCTATGGATACTATTGAGACAGGGATCTCCCTCGCTCACACAAGAGAATCTCACAGATGCATGAAAGCTGGAAATTTGGGGTTATAGCAGATGCACCCCTCTTCACAGAAAAGAAGACATAGGTCAGGAATCGGACCAAGGTACAAAGTGTGTGTTCCCCCCTCTGAATTCTAGCATGTGCCCTACTTACGGCAGCTTTGCAGTGCTTTAACATAGGTCAGGACGGATTCAAGTACAGCGTGACAGTGAGAGAAGTGCATTTAATTCCTTACTTCCTCACCTGGTCTCTCACTGAATCTCATTCGTGCCCTCACTACTTGGACCCTAGTCTAGTTTGTACTGCAGCTGTTTCGAAACCCAAGCTAAAAGACCTTATTGCAGCTTTAATCTGGTGACCAGCCAACAGCAAAAGTGTAGCATTTTAATGCAGTGGCATAAAGTAAGTGTCCCTATCACAAATTTGAATACTGCTGTAAACATACAGGGCAACTCAGTCTCCTGGCTTGCTGCAGTTTCAATGTAGACGGGTGTTCTTGTCTGAAAGATCGGCTCCATTCAGGTTATGAAATCAAGAACTGGGGAGCATTTTACAAGACTAACAGCTGACATTATGAAGTAAGTATTCACATTAAAACAACAATGCTTAACTGTTTTTGTTTTTGTCTGTTTGTTTGTTTGTTTTTTTTTTCCAGCCCAAATACATTTGCTTTAAGTGTATTGCATACAATGCAGAAACGTATTTTTGCAAATTATTGAAGCCTGCAGGCGGGAAGCCTAAAAGCAAAGGGCTCTGTAATATCCAGGAAAACAGCCAGAAACGCGCGTTTCTTAACTGCATTGCTCTCCGAGGGTTTAGCAGCAGGGACAAAGCCGTTTTCCCCACCAGCCCGTTACCGGCCGCTTCAGCCTGGTTGCGCTGCTGTCATCTAGCGGGCAGTCGGGAAGGAGCAACCGCCTCCCAGGCACCGAGCTGACGGCTTGGAGAAATTTCTCTTTTCGGTGTTTTTTTTCCCCCAACCTCTCCCTGCTTTGCTTTTTTTTGTTTTGTTTTGTTTTGTTTTGTTTTGTTTTGTTTTGTTTTGTTTTGTTTTGTTTTGTTTTGTTTGGGTTTTTTTATTTGTTTGTTTGTTTATTTGGAGTTTTTTGTTGTTTTGGTCTTTTGTTGTGGGGTTTTTTTTTGGGGGGGGGGGTTTTTTTTTGGGTTTGGTTTTTTGTTTTTTTTTTTTTTTTTGCTTTGTTTTAGTTTGGTTGGTTTGGTTGGTTGGTTGGTTTGTTTTGGCGTCGGCGGGACTGATTTTGGTATTTTCCGCTCGCGCCGTTGCGTTGCGCGTTCCTTTGCTGACACCTCGTGGCAGAGCGCGGCGGGCGCGCGGGGAGGCCCCGCGCCGCTGGGAGGGGGCGGGAAAGGCCCGTGACTGCCTGGCCCCTGAGGGAAGGGGAGACCCGGCCCCCCAGGGAAGGAAGGGACCTGGCCCCCCAGGGAAGGAAGGGACCTGGCCCCCCAGGGAAGGAAGGGACTCGCCGCCGACGCGCAGCGGGCAGAGCACTGGCGGGGGCACCGCCCGTCGCCTGCCGGAACGTGAGCTGCCTTCTGGGGTCTGGGAAAACAAGCAGCAGTCGCGTGCTCTGAGGGGAAAAATAAATAAAATAAAATAAAAAATCAAAACAACAAGCAAAAACCGCGACAGATTGAGAGACAAAGACCTCTCTTCAAGCGGGAGTGGCGGGGCCTCGGGAACCTTTGTACTATGTGCTTAGTCTAAAAACTGTTCAGGAGACACACCTTCTTTAACCACTTGATGCCATATTAGGTTCTGTGTGTTGTACGAGAACAATTCTAGTTTTTGGTTGATAAAATTGCTTTGTGTTACCTCTCCTAACATGTAATATTTTTTTTATTTTTTTTTATTTTTTTTTTAATTAGTGACAGGGACTGAAGAAGAAAAGTCATCACGTAACATAGGATCAGTATTGGAGTTTGGAGAAGAGTATGCTCAGTGTATCCCAAAAGTGCTTTTAAAACCGGAGGAATAAAACTACTGAGTAATGACGTTAAAACAGGACATAGGGCATTTCCTCCTGTGGTAGGTAATCTCTGAGATCTACATTCATTGGTCTCTTCCTGGCCTGAGAGCAAATGCTTAGGCTACAGTTTGTTTGACTTCAGTAGAACATAAGGAGGTGCTTAAAGAAAGTCAGGTTTGGATTAAAACAGAAACATATCTTGGCATGGGATTAAATTTTCAATTCCAGTGGTAATCAGCTCAAATGGCAGCAAAGTCTCCTACTAAATAGCCAGTAAAAAGCAACAAACAACACCACATTGATACATCAATATTTTACCAGTACCTTCTCATAGAACAAGGCTGTTTGCAGTAGAGTACTACCTTTGAGTGGGAAAACTGGCATTTGCAGTGAGATGTAGTGGGATTTAGCTCTTAAAAACTGTACAGGTGCAACCTGGAAGCGAATAACAGCACTCGTTCACACAGATTCTGCCAATTTATAATTGTGCTGGCAGTTACTGTATTTCACAAATGATTTTAGAAAAATTAACTTCCTTCTTTCTAGCAAATTGGCACTAGCTTTCAAAATTACCTAAGTGATTGAACTTTACTTTTTATTGGCTTTTAGTACAACTGCTTTGCCAAATCACTAGAGCATCTTGGAAAATTCTGATGAGGAAACTCCCAACCTTTCTCTTCCTCGTGCTACATTCCTACCTTTCCAGAAGTGTTCATAAATACGCAACTGAGTTTTCATGTTACTTGCTTTTAGACTGTGAAGTTGCTGAACATGAGCTCCCACTTAGCTCTGGTGCTCAAACAGGCACTATTTAGGAATTTTACAGCTACCACTCAAGTGAAGTACAGGGCTGGCCTGTGGAGAGGATCTTGCAGGGCTTGCTGCTTTATCAGGGCACATGTTTTCACAGCGTCCAGCTTCATTCTGTTTTCTTCTGCCAGTGCACTCATTAACAAGGTCTAAAAGAGGAAAAGGAGAGGGAAGGAGACATTTTTGAGTTTTCCATGGGTAAAGTTGCCGCGGTCACATCAGGATTTGAAAAAGGAGGGTATGAGTTGTGCGATACTATGTATTCTAAATTTCTCTGGGTGGGGCAGAAGTTACTCCTTCAGTTATGATGTTCTGGTGTGTGAGTGCTGAATTAATATTTATTTGAACAATAAAAAAACGTTAACAGCAGAACCTGTGTGGATACTAAATATCTCTGCTATCTGTCAATCACTGAAAGATGCAGAAGGCCCCCACACAGATACCCCTATCACCAAGGAGAGTGTCCCAGTGGTTAGCTCGGAGATGCTTTGACACAGATCAGACTACAGAATCCGCTCTAAGGACCTAGCTCTTCATAGTTATGCTCTCGTAAATGGAGTAATTTACTGAAGTACAAATTCATGGGGATACTAGTCTCATGAACTAAGCATCAGACAGCCTTCCAGCACAACAAATGCGATGTGGCTCTCAACTATTTTCTCATGTGATTTTACTGACTGGAAGATGCTTCTAGATTTAAAAAGCTAGAGCAGCAGTTATGCGAACAACAGATGTAACATAAGATGTACCATCTCTTTTTGTTGCAGAAATTAAATTTTTAAAGTTTTTAGCACCCAGTATTTTAGGTGTATTACAATTTTTGGTTTAAGAACAGCACTTTCTTCCTATGCAGTTTCCTTTATAAAAAGTGCTTTTTGCACTACATGTTTGGGTTTTTTTTTTGATTTCCTAGAAAGCTTTACCATATGGACAAAGAAGGATACATACAGAGCCAGAGTATGGATTCACAGTTCTGCTGTGACCTTACCTGTACAGACGTAACCTGATTATTTTCATTGCGTAGGAATGCATTAATAAATACAGGAGAGACTCTTGCGTCTGTGAACTCCTGTTTATATTGAAAGGCTTTCTCACTTGCAACTCTGTCTCCCATGACATCGGTTCAGACTCAAGCCACTGCTACATGCAGACTCAGGGTACCT